GTTATAATTAAGGATCTCTGTATAATTAAACATGGCCAAAAGTTCATTGAGTCACTTTAAAATGTGCTTCCGCCATTAAATATTTCCTTGGACATATAGGATGTTTCTTAAGAAATGTTGATATAACTCGCAAATTCTTTTTTAATAGGGTACCGAATCCTCAAGAGTGTTAGTCGAATTGTATACAGACTTAAATAGTATAGAGTGGTTGCTCATTTTTTACGCAATGTTGAATAACAAACAAAGCAACTATCCTAGGACCACTGTCATTTAAATCCTGTATCAGGTACATTCGTCAAGTTTTGTTCTTGGCAAGTTGCCAACAGCCGATTATAGCAACCCCCATAGAGAGCAAGTTGTTATCTTATAATGGTTCTTGATAATATACAATTCAATGTGGGTGGGTGGAGGATGGTACTCTGATTGTGAGAAAAGTGGCTATAAATGATAATTGTAATTTTTCAGTATAGTATCCTGCTGCATTATTTAGCATTGAGTGTGCAAAAGAATAACTTTTTTAAAAAAATATTCCATATAGTTTTGTCCACGGACTTTGATGCAGTGTACAGCAATATGAAGTCTGTATGTAGTGAAAATGATATGCCACTAACACTTATCAATAATCTATTTAGTGCCAATGAGAAAATGATTTTGTACTAAACTTGATACAATGAACATGAGCTGTTATTTTCTGAAAATAAAATTTATTCTATTCAGTCCTAAACAATCATGACAGTAGTTTAATACAAAAGGTATAAATGCCTATATTGGACATTCAGCATTTTAAGATGAAGAGAATAACAAAGGGTCTCTGCATTATTTGTTGATACTATTAAAGACACATTGTGTTGCCAGACATTATGATGATCCACAAAATGAACGGTCCGGAATATTTTACTATTTTCTGCTTACATGTATTTCTGTACGTCTATCTAATATACTACTATTTTTGTAATTCACTTTTCTGTTTATTGACATCATTAATCAATGAATATTGAGTTTTGGTATCCTAGTAATGGATTCAAGGTAAAATATACAAAATGTCTGATCTTGGTCTAATATTCAACTTTATGCAGACGATATGCCACATTAAGATGTCTTATAACCTGGTTTCTAAAGTACCCCATGTTTTTAATATATGACTATACAGTAAAACGATAAACTATGGCTTATACAGTGTTCATAAATGCAGAAACAATGTCGCTAAATAACCACTAATATGTACATAGCTTATTGTACAAATACGTGTCGACTTTTTACCTTATACTTGACCTATTCGACACACTGTAGAATCCAATGTACAAAAGCACACACACATACACACAATGTACCATCTTGTCAATATTATTACTGCTCATATGTCTTACCTGATCAGCTTGTAATTTCCTTAAAATGTGTTTTTCTTAATTTGAATCACACCCTTGTTTTGGGGGAAGCACCTTCTCACACACAAGCGGAAACGCATACCACAACTACAACAGTTCTCACACTTACAAGAAAATTAAATATATCCCATGTTTGTGTTTATTTAAGGTTTATCTAGGATACATAGCATATATCAAGTTATTTTCATCATCTTTAGACGGTCATTCAGACCGAACGACTGAAGATCTCCCTAAAATATAAGTTTGGCGGATTGATACTTAGAGAACTACATGTGTCAAAAGATTAGACGCTTTTATTGGTACAGACTATGATTGTACTTTCAATATTGAAAATTTGGTAGCCATCTGGTTACATCTATCGTATTAGATATCCGAGTAATATGACTGTCAGTCAAGGGACCGGGTTCGACTGGAAGAAGACCATTGTGGTATCCCTCATTACCCGGTATCGTGATGTTGGCTACCTGCACTGTATGCAAATCCCAGTTTGTATGAAAAATGCATCTTCCTTAGTCAATCATGCAACAAGATGATTACAAAGCAAGAGCTGAATACTATATCAATGCCGTGATCTACTGCACATAAATTTCAAATTGCCTATTTTACCCCGTAGAGACGCATGGTCCGCAAAACTGATTGTCCCTAAACATTTCAATGAATTTTCAAGGCAATAGTATATAACTTTAAACTCATAACTTACTACACGTGACATCTGACTATGCTATATCCACCCACCCATTAAACCTACCCGGATTACAAAGATCGTATGACCTAGTGCACACAAGTAAGTTAGACTGCCATTGCAAGAAGGAAATCTTTGGTTTCTACAAAGTGACGATTCGATCTCGCGATCGTTAGGGTGACTATTTAAGGAAGAAAATAGAGTGAGATTGTTGGGTAGAAGGAAAGATTACATCACGTATATTAAATTAAACCGAAGACTGAAATGTTGAAATGTAATTTTTAAAAACATTGATCGTCCGTTTTTTCTTCTCACTCAAAGTTTTGATAGACGTATTTTCCTGATTTGAAATAATTTATACACAAATTGCTTGAGAAGGATAGATATTTATATCTTAAAATTCAGTTTTCATTATTTTTCCCTTCCCCTAACCATTAGTATAGTGAAATCACCATCGAGTGCACTTACTGATAAAAAGGAGAAGTCATGGAAAGATTCTGCTTCTAAAGTTATATAAAGTGGTCTTAACTAAGACCATAAACCGCTGCACGGCTGGGTATTAGTCAAATAATTCCCTCTTTTATTACGGTGCAAAAGGCAATTAAACATCGATACAAGGAATGTGTAATAGATATGATAGTAAGTTGGTTGTTGACGACTGTGATCACTACAATAGATAGCTTGACCCCCCCTCTAGTTATTGGTGTAACGTCTAGGTCATTAACTGAGTTGTCAATTCAGAATAGCGCATTCACAAAGATTATGGAGTGCTCTTTATCCGCAGCGTGGTTAAAATCGAGATCTTCTATACAAAACACGTCTTAGAGGTACTGAACAACCTTCACTAATATACCGGCATAGTTATTTTTATCGATGGTTAGATGAAATCTTGGATTTCCTTTTAGGGATGGTTATCGTTAAAAACTAGTTGTTTTTCACTTCCAGCAGTATTCATTTAGTGGATAGAAAGATGAACAGAAAATAAATTCGATTTTCATTAAATGAGTAAATCTTACATGTAGATCTTAATTTATTCAGATGGTCTCGTCTCTGGCTCCTCATTTCGTCCTTCTGCTACCAAGGCTTGCTGTCAGACGGCCACTAAGTTATAAGGCTTCAATCTAATTAGTATTTCCAATTGTTATCAAAAGTAATATTCAGCAGCAGTGAAGTTGAACAGACCACTATGATGAAGGTACCATTTGTGAAATCAACACTTTTACCAAATATGATATATAAGGTCGGAAGGATAAACCGGGGCCTTTAACGTGTCACGTATCCCGCCCATTTTATTCCCTCTTGATCTTGTGTGTAAATTTTCCGTGGACGTCATCGTTCATAAGCCAAGACATACGTGTTGATCGACAACGACTAGAGGGTATTAAAAAGTATATTCCGTCCTTTATTTTGTTAAGTAACAACTACTGCAGCGTCAGGAAGCTCGAGTGGAATTTGCAGAAGATGCGGCGGAATTGAATAAACCAGTCACAGAGACTACTAAAGCATCTGTGGAAACAGCAGAAAAAAATCAAAGCGACTAAAATATCAGAAATAGCTGGTACACAACCACAACTATTAGAAGGTATTGACCAAGCTCGTGTTGAGATTGGCGATGTGAAGAAGAACCTAAGAAACCACCTGCCTAATTTACCGAAAAAAGTCTTAAGGTACTTAGAAAATCATTATCAATTGATGCAACAGGATATCCAGTTCGTTGTGACCGATTAGATGCAGAGATCACTGATATTCCAGAATCAAAATAGGTTCCTTTTGTGTTTGAACATCCCGTGGTATACGTAAAAATGATTAAAAAATATGAGAATGAATTTTGCAAGTATAATAAACACGTCAAAGAAGCTGCTAAAAACCCATTATCTGGAGTTATATCATTGCCCAAATAATCACTATTCAGATCACCTCGTTTTCAAGAAGAAGCAACTGGGAGTAGTCTTGCGAGTCGCTATGCGCAACCATATCGATGTCATAAAAAGCAAACCTCTCCGGTAATCGATAAACTTTGTCCCTATAACGTCCTTGCTGATGTTGATCTTAGAGGAATTTTGTTTGGAGGAAGACTAGCCGGCAATCATTGCCCCGAAATCATCTATGAAGCAGCTGCTATTTGTCAGGGATTGGATATCAGCGTTTATCGGGCACTTATCGATGAAATTACTGCGACTTATCAATTAGATCGGCGATACCAAAATAACATGATCATACATAATGCTGAACGTCAACCTATGAAGGTCACTATGACAAATTCACGATTACCGGGTTTTAAAATGATCTACGGAGATGGTCTAAGCAATATTATTCAAGGTCTATTCAGAACGGTAGCCCCAAAGGCGATCCAGAACTTGCTGATCGTATGCCCCTCACCGGGGTTGACCAGGATGAGGTTTTTTTTCAAGATCAGTATGGGAGGCTTAATTCGAGCAATATCAAGTGGATTGATATCATTCTGCTAGTTTCCTGTGTGACCAACGATACAATCGTGGTATTTACTGATGGCGGAAAAAATCAAAGACTCAAGCGTATCAATTGGAGGGACCATAGGAGAGATTTTTTAATGTGTGCTCTAAAGTTGGCGATATAATGACAGGTGAACCCAACATGAGTGGAAAAATTATTGCTAATTTGAGAGAAACAGAACCGGACGATGACACAGCAATGAGTGTGTGTGTGTGTGTGTGCGCGCGCGCGATTTGGAGATTTAACATAGCTTTAATAAGTATTCAGTCATATCACTACCATGTCTGCAGTGTGGCAGTTTAGTGATGTCTAGCACTGTGACATCAAGGGACAGACATGTATCATGATCTCCCACCCAGTCACATTATCCTGACACTAGGCCTACGAGTCCTAACACTAGCCTCTTAATACTGAGCTCTAAGCGAGGCATTTGTAAGTACCATTTTTGTAAGTCTTTGGTATGACTCGGCCAGGGATCGAACCAACAACCAACGACCTTCCGAATCCAAAGCGGACGCTCTAACCACTAGGCCACCGAAGCAGTCGACTCTGCAATGAAGAAATACTTGGACAACAACTACATCGCAATAAGGATCTTTTTAATACCAATCAGTGATAGATTGTCCATATTCAGATCTGATTATAATAATCATATAAGTACGTTTGTGAATTTTCGCAAAACATAGAGTCCCTACTTATTTCTTTGGAAATCAAATTGTCAACGGTGTTAAGCCTACAGAAATCAAAGAAAAGATAAAAAAGATACAAGATCGTGTAATTTATACGACTTAATTCATCAAAGCGGTGTACATAGTAGCATATTACAATTATGGACAAAATTGCCGGCCCCTACGACTACCTAGACACTTATCGCCAATATTATCAGCCAATTGGCAAGCGATTCTCTTACATATTTATTTTTACAGACATCAACATGAGAATCAACTTGATGTCTGCGATGTCTTTGATGTAGATCTTGTACGCGACCTCATGAACATAGCACGCTTGATCAGATGTATTCACTGCATATTCTTCTGGTTTTAGTTTACTTTGGTCTTCAGTTCAAGTCGAGTTCTATGACCACAATAATTATATCTAGGAAGTTGTTTCTATCCTGGATACTTAGCCCATCCAGTTCCTGGTACATTTCAAGTATCTTAGCAATATCGCTTGACGTCTCGAGAGACTATGCAAATTTGTAATGTTTTACAACATTTCCGCACGTACCTGTGAGTACGCATCAACAATGTTTCGTCGCTATTGTTTAAATCCACTGGTATCAGTATCCTTTTGGCATAAGCACAATATAAACTCATATTTTAATCATATTTGTTCAACATGAATGTGACTGACTTCTCAGCAACGCGAGAACAGGAGCCAGTGAAGCATCGTCCAGCATTGTGAAACTTTATCCGTGTTATTAGCATTGGTCTGGTACAACTCAGTTGCTACTCAACCTGTTAATGAGATGGTTCAAATGAAACAAACCTTATTTAGTGGCACCATCCGTAGACCATCAGTGATGTTATAATGTTCTTAAGTAATTTGATGAAACTGCAAAGGATAACGACGATGATAATAATGTTAATGAATTTACCACCGACATCGATGATGCACCATCCGTCGATGATCTTAACGGTGATATAAACAATCGATTGGTATACGATGATGCTATGCTCGACAAACTAACAAATCCAGCCAGAATATTTTCACGAGGCAGGCACAAAAACGAGGACGCAATACGTCACGCAGAGATACACTCAAATTTCCAAGATTATCTGGGCCAACTACAATCTTTTGGTTGTCTTTGATGGCCTTGATACTCACACCTTGAGGCATAGCCACCGGATTTGGTGCTCCGGTGACACAGACACGATTAGATTTAAAAACTTCTTTGCCAATGCTCAGAAAACCACGTACGTATTTATCACGATAAATTTACACGATCCAAGAACACGATATCGCATTTGTCTGGATAATATCTTTGAGCAAACCTGTCACCAGACAGCACTACTTATTTTGCCCCCACCAGTAGCAGAGAGGGTGAGGACCAACACGGTTGTCTCGTTTCATGAACGATGACTTCCACGGAAATTTGATACACAAGGTCAAAAGGGCATAAAGTGGCGGGGTAACTGATATGTTAGAGGCCTCGGTTTATCCTTTTGACCTTGTATGTCATTTTTGGTTGAAGAGTTGATTTCACAAATGGTACCTTCCTCATAATGGTCAGTTCACCTTCCCTGCTCAATCAGTTATCGACTGTATCCTTACCTGAAAAGAATATCTTTAAAAACTGAGGTTTAATAGCGTTAACTTTTCGATTTCAATGCTATTAACACCTGTCATTTAAATTTAATGTCTAAATTATCAATTATTAAAGATTTCTTGTAAAGATACAGGCTAAGCAAAGATATTTATCTCGGGGTTGCAAACTGCAGATATTATGATCCCGATTAGATAGTAGTTTACAAGGGTATGCTGCAGATGAAGAGATAGTCTAACGTCTCTGATACGCCTTCTGTGCAGATCAAGACATATATATTTATTCTCCTTTTCTTTCTGATACCTTATCTTTTGAGGTTGTTCTTCAAAAATTATTTAATATCAAGTTCTCCTATCTTCATTATATTTTACAGTCATTAACTAAACAACATATGAGCAAAACGGTTGATTTCGTCCTTTAATGTACATCGTACATTCCCCAATTATGATAGTACCTGTACATCCTGATTCAAACGCAATCATACAACTATTTCAGTTTTTTTCTTCTTCTTCATATATGGTCGCTGCTTTCTCTGGTAAAAGCTGGCTAATAATCAAACAAATATGTACATGGCCAGGGATATCAGACCCTCAACGCTTGTTTGATAAGACAGGTAAGTTTAAGTGCATTGTTATTCATTGTGTCATAGTGTATCTGAGTATTTGCTTTTTATAAGAATGAAATACGAGACATTTATTACCCTACATCAAAATAGGCTAGAATAATTTGGTACTCTGAGATTCGATGTAAAAGATTTGTTTACATCAATACCTCATTTACATTACATACATGCGAGTGGACTTGAATAAAACTTGTCACCAAGCAAAACCAAAATATATAACATGTGGATCCGTACACTTTATACCTTTTCATGCGACATAAGATTAACGGTTTCGTTGCATTTGACAGAAAAACATACATTTACTTACGTATGTATGTTATGGCGAGTATAGTTATTCTTCTTTATATATCTCATGCGACAGGACATAGTGGTGGCCAATCACTTGCAACAAATCCACTTAAATAGGACAAATTATTCATTTAAATAAATAGAGATAATTATAAAATAAGTTAAAATATGCATCATAGGAAATAAAACCCGGATTATACGTGGCCTAGTGGTGAAAGCTCCCGCCTTGAAAGCGAGAGGTCGCGGTTTCGAACCCCGGCAACGCCAAATCAAATATGGTATAACGTGATCAGAGTAACAGCTGCCTCGCTAAGGCACTCAACATTAATAGGTTAGTGTTAGGACTGGTCTTCCTGGTTTCGGGATAATGTGACTGGGCTGGACATCATGCTACATGTCTGCGGCACGATGCCCCAGCGTTAGACATCACTATAATCTGTCACACAGCAGACATCGTAGCGATATGACTGGGAATTTTTTTTAAGCTATGTTAAAAATCCAAAAATCATTCACACACGTTTTGGTTACTATCTTCCGTTGATATATACTGGTCTGAGAAATTTAGGATTGGTCGTTCTGGTGTCACGATAATGAGAATTTAATTATGTAGAATATTAGCTTAATATAAATAAATCTATGTACAAAAACAATGCCCACCCTAAGTGATTTTGATTAGATAAATTTAAAACGTAATAATGAACTGTGTGCATAATATCTTTGAAATTGGACACCGTACAAGAGAAAAGGAAAAAAAAATAGCATTTTATTATTTAAAATATTTTTGTTATGTATTATAACTAACGTGGTTCATGAATGCTTGCATGTAAGTTCTGTAATTATTGCAGGTCCGATTCTCAGCATAGGACTTCCAAAGTGCCATCAATCATATCTAGCACTTCCTTGTCTACGTCATTGTCCGCGTTTACCCATCTCAAGTTAAATTATCACCGTTTGTTTAATACTTGGTTTGATCAATGCATCCTTAATCAATATGACTGAGAGCACTAATAGTGGGATCATCTGAACATGAATTGGCAAAATCCGTTTAACCTGTTCCGCTACAATGACAGCACTTCATTTGCCGATTAACCGAATTTGATACCATTTTAGAACACAAGAGATGATATTAACTTGAAAAAAACTCTGCGATCATTGGTTACATTGTAGTGTTATATATTATATATACAATATTACATATGTGTTAATGTACAAAATCATATTTAGCGATCAATATTTAATGAAATATAATATTTGCTTTCAATTAAATATTTTCAAATACTTCAAAGGTAAAAATGAAAATAAGCTTGTTTACTGGTTCGAGACTACTCAAAAGACACAATTCAACCATAACAATTGAGAAAAAAAATCTAATGATAACAGTGAAGAACATTAGCCAATACTATCAGTTTACTCATCAATAATTCTATATACAATTTTTCTAGCTGTAAACATAATGCAAAGAAAACACGATTTGCATTTGAAATCAATAATAACTAATAAAGTAAAACGTGTTTTGTCATTGTTTTCTATCAGCCTTGGATTTTATTTTGCTCTGGTTAACATGCTGTTGTCAAATGTTTCACATTGAAACTGATTCCTCGAAATTGATTTCCTTCTTTCAAAAGTGTAAACTTCTTGGAAATGACTTGAGCACAAGCATCTTTGAAATATTGGTATGAATTATTAATTAGTTAAAAGTACCAAAAGTCAAAACTATCTTAATTTCTCAGAGTTATCAGTGCAACATTTCAGTAGAGCCTTAAATTTGCAAGCTAAGTCTTGCATTTGATATATCCACCAAGATCACCCAGAATGGTTTTCTTGATGTGTGCTTTTCTATAGGCCCTTAACTGCCATTTCTTAGGTATGATATAACCAATAATGTGTTCACAATGTTTTTAAAAGCAACCAAATGAAAGGAAAGAAGTTAATTATGATCATCAGAAATCTTTAACATGAAGTACAGCAACTATCATGATGTAGAATGTACCGGGCAAACTGGATTATCTCCCTTCTACCACAGTAAAATATACTTGTGAGTTCATTTCAAAATTGTTACAAAACACAACACATACTTTGATTTCTCTACAGCATTAAATCCAGTTATTATTGGCTGATTATTGTTACTATGAACCAGTTGGGGGTTTTAAAGAGTAATGCAGGTCAAACTAACCTTTTTGACACCATGTTTAGAATTAAACTAAAATAATAATGTACCAATATCAACAACACAATATGAATGTGTCACAATTAGTCCTCAATACAATTTGGTGTGCACATTATTATGTCTTTTATCAATGGGTATTCTATTTACAAAGCTCTAAAACTGAATTATTCAAATGTATCAGCAGCCTAACTAAATACAAAAGCTTGACATAAAAACATCACAAAGGCAATCATTATTAAACAACACGTATCATCAAGTGAAAAGAATTACTTTTCATGGTGCATTTTATGCAATATATTCCAACACAATCAAAATCTATATTGATGCATTATGCACCATTCTGAGTAAAAATTATGAAAACTGGGAGAAAAAAATCTTTTCCAAACTAAATACATGACAAGAAAATGGTACCAAAAAGAAACAAAATTACTACAGCTACTTAATTTCAAACCTTTTACCTTTTACATGAACATTAAATGTTTTGCATACTGAGTTATGGGTGTAGATTGTCAAAGTACAGTTAAAAGATACAAAAATAAAATGATGCAGCATTTTATCTCTATATAACAAAATAATGTAAAAATGACAACCTAAGAAAACTTACAAAGAATTAAACACGTTACAAACCAAATGTACAATTGGGGAATTTTTAAACAGAAATTGGCACATGCTTACAAAACAATTATTTTTTATCATACTTGAAAGGCAGTGACTCTTTTTCTACAGAATAAAGAATGCTTTCCAATATAGATCAGTCCTTACATTTGTTTACATTGGTATTTTGAACATGTACCTGCTTTGCACAGAGAATCAAATAATCTTACTCAGCCAATAACAAGTGCACTATAATTCTTCAGAAACAAGCTATACATGTATAATAAATTACATCATATTTTAAGAAATATCTTTAAATATATGAGCAATAGATAATCAAAAAAATGCTCCTAGTTCAACTGAAATTTGTTTAACAAAATGGCAACTTTCTTTAAAAACAGAAAACAAAACAAAATGCATACATGGGATTACATCATATACATGTACTTACAAAATAGATATGTGGAACACTTGACTGTGAGACATATAAAACTTTAAATATGAATGAATCATAAACTAAAATGAAACTGTATATGAGGTTCATAAAACTCAAATGATACATTTTGTTGAGGGATTATATTTTTCTTGATATAATCTCTTCTTGCACTAACATCTGCCTAATCTTTTTACCATGGATAACTTACCCAAGGTGCAAGGATTTAGCCAATAGAAGGAAAATATTTAAGTATTTTCTGATTAATATGGTATCTCTATTTTGAATTGTGCTTTGTTAAAAAACATTTATCTTTCCTTTTAAGACTTCCCATGTATAGGTTAACTTTATTATTTTTTATTTTTTTTTTATGCTTTAATTTACTTTTTTTAAAAATGTAAACAACATTTACAATGTTTTAATGTTCTTTCTCAAAGAACCTTCTGCAAATCATGTAACTGTTGCTGCATATCTTTCCTTCTCAATTTTTGAATTTGCACAGACATAAAAGTCAGTTACAATCATGAGAGAGAGAGAGAGAGAGAGAGAGAGAGAGAGAGAGAGGCACACACACACAGAGTTACTATGCAGTTAATCAATCAAATACAGCTACAAGTATAATGGTTAATGCATGAACTAATAACAAACAATCCATAAACACAGGTTTAGACTTAACCAGCAATGTCTGCACTAAGCACTTACAATTACGGAATATGGTTTAAAGAATATATTCCAAAACTAAGACTATTGCAGAGTCTAAGAATTCAGTCAGTACACCATAAAATAGAATTGTTAAGAGAATTGTGTCACTAGTAGATACTCCAATAATACAGATAACTGCACAGGAATAAGAATTAGGCAAGTTATCATGTTAGCAAGTTAGCATGACAAAGTCTGAGTACTTTTTATTTTAATTTTTAAGCAGTTAATAGGTGTGACATTGTACATAATTCTTCTTTCTGCCTCAGGGTAAGAAATAGGAATATCATTCTATGATATTACCGTTTGGGAAGATATTACTACAGCCTAAAAAAAAGATTGGATAAAAATTCTTTGGTCCTCACATTTTTTCTACTATATCAGAGCATGTCTTTCTAATAACAAATCTGAATTTACCTATGTAATATTCCTTAATGTCTTGACATGATCTTCCAACATGCACAACGGGTATGAAGGAATTATCTGCATTAGCATTGAATTTAACAAACAAGTTTGCTGAAGGTAACTCTTTGTAAGAATCTTAAATTAGTTGTGCTAATTCTTAAACTGTGAACACTGGATTTGTCCATACTGAATGAGTATATACAATCTGTAGATTTTCCATGATTATAAAGTAATGTTTTTTATTTGGCTTAATTTATAACGAATTGTGTCCAAAACGTATTCAGAGCACTATTACAAGCTAGGTATCATACAATCTTGGGCATTGGATCACAAGAAGTTCCTCAGTTGCTGACAAGCATACATCACATGATTTAATAGTCCTCAACGTTGGACATGGAGATTGATCAACAAATCTCAATGCCCTGGATCTGTGGTCAATGTGGTTATGAACTAAACTTACTATGCAGCATCTACTTCTGTTATTAAAGTTACCATGATCTTGACTTCCCATATTTAACAACCAGCATTTATAGGTTCCTATATTATGCTATGAACAAATCACCCACTACATTTGTTAAAAGAATTTATTCAGAAAGAAAGTTGCTTTCCTTTAATCTACAAAAGTTTGTTCCTCTGTTAACTGCTCAGACATTAATATTAAAACTTTTAAACACAAAATCAATAGGTTGTTTCCATACCTGAAGTTCATGCCCTACACAAACTGCACTTAAAGTATGTGAAGCAGAACTAAAGTAAGTTACTATGCAAAATATACTGTTCTATTATTAGTCAGTGACCTTGACCGATAAATATTTGACACCCACATCAGTGGGTTTCTTTCCTACCTAGTGTGGAAATTATGCACAACTTTTGATTAGAACAAAAGCCTCTTGTTCTGGAAAACATTTACATTTTTCAGTCAGTCATCTTGCCCACTGCTCTTTTGATCCCATAATAGCTATTCTT